GCCATTTTTATCATTTCTCATTTAGAAATGTACCCTGGCAATACACAATGAATGAATACGTGGGAGGTTAGGGTGGGTTAGGGTTAGGGTTAGGGTTAAAACAAAATAATATAAGTGTCACGTGTTGAGGTCATATTTTGGAGAAAACTAAATTACAAATGGGGTGTTCACATATTCCTGCAATATTTTTGTTTAAATTTACCTCCTCTACCCCCAAACCTATATTATATATTTTTATTTAGCACTGATTCATCACAATTACTGAGTAGTGATTCTAAGGCCACAACCAACCCCGGTCCGGCTGAAGACCTGACTAGGAGATCTTTTTTGCCATAAGAAAGATAATCTATTTTTATATTTTTTATATATTATACGTGATTCTACATTTTTTTAAATTCAATAAAATTAATTTGTAAATTGATACTTAGGTGCATCTCTCTTTTAATATTAGCAAAGGCCAACTCTCCGTTCCTAGCGGTCTTAAACCAAAACCGGTGGAGACCGGTTTTTCGTTTTTTCCATTGCAGACCACGGCTCGGATCGGTTTTTTAATTAATATTTTAAATGTAAATTTTTTGTGTACATTTAATTTTGTATATGACCCTCTTTGCGATATACTATGAAAACGAAAGCCAGATTTAAACCAATAACATATATAATATCTATTCACTGCAGTACCAAATTTGATGTATCGTCAGTAACAAATAATTTCTATTTATTCTATATTATTAGGTTCTTAAAAAGATACCTGATAAAAAAATTTTTAAATCTAATCCACTTCTTAATTTTAACATGCCATTCCACCTGCGCAGATTCCCTTCTATCGATAACCATCTGATAAATATCAAGCTGAGCATACGAGCCGAATAATATTAGAAATTAATTTGACAAAATGGAACAGATCTACCCCCCACTATTCAATCCCCCCCCCCCACCACCTTTCTAGTTCCTTTGAGTGAAGCGAACAATACAATACTTTAGAAGTCGACATTTGGCTAATTGATGTCTAAACCTCTGTTCCTTCTATGACCGAAATCTTCAGGGTTGCGTAATAGTTTTCCGGATAAAAATATCGAGTTGACGGTTTTTAGAAATCGGCTCAAATCGACCCGTTTAGCAAAACTAATTAACACTTATTTAAATTAAATATTTGCATTATTATAATTATTCATATTGATATTTAAATTAGGTAAGTAATTATTTTTTAATTTAGAATATTATGATCTGGACCGGTCTTCAGCTGAGAACCTTGGTCTGGACCCTAAGAAACGGAGAGTGATCATCGCTACTGATCATTCTAAAGAAGCCGGCTTTTGACATTTACCTGCTTTTAAAACTACCACATTTTTGGGGGAAATAAAATAGCAAGCTGACCCACTCTTTAAAGATCGTCACAAATGATATTTTTGAGGAATTTTCCAGGAATTTATAAAAGAATAACAAAATTATTAAATAATTTAAATAAATAAAAAATAATTTTATCTTTCTATATAAAAAAAAAAATAAAAAAAATTAAATTTTGTGAAATATATCCTTGAGGGGGTGAAAAAATTTTTATTTAATATTTTAAAAAAAATTGAAACAAAATTATAACGACTTATGTAATAAAGTTTGTATCGAAATTTTATATATTCAATGAAAAGAAATTGATTCTAATCTTTTTCAGATAATTAGTTTTAGAAAGTTCTTCCTTAGAGCCGTGGACCCCAGTTCAGAAGAACCCGGATATGGAGCCTTACCTGTCCTTAGAAATTCTAGTATACCCCCATGTTTAAGATGACTATGTTTCGGTGAGGCCATTTTGTGTGGGACATAGTTATTCAATACATCATATTTTAAATAGAGATTTCCCTGGAAAAAATAATCGCATTTTGTCACGCGAATCGAAGCTCGTTATGAAAATAAATATTACCGCTAAGGTTACGAACAAAAGGCGGAAAACGGTTAAAACTTAATAAAGATTGAAAAATTTTTTAGATTTCTGGGGGGGTTCCAAAAATACGATATATATTAACAGAAGAATTTTTTTAAAATGAATAGATTGTAAAAAAAGAGGAAAGTAAAATAAAATAAAAGAATGGAAAGAGATAAATATAAATACAAAAAAAGTGATTGTATTTTAAAATAAAAATTACCAAATATTTTTTTTATTGTTCCACATATCATATCCTAATTCTTTCAACAATCTTTTCCTTATTTTTTTAGGAAAAAAATTTACCACTTAGGTGCCATTAATTTTCAATGAGAATACAACATATAAAATAAATTGCAGTAGATGTTACCATTTGTACAACCGGGCCCGGCCCGGTTTCAGCCCGGGTTTTTTTAAAAAAAATTTCAGGCCCGGCCCGGATTTTTTCAAAAATATATTTTATTTATTTTTGATTTTTAGAGCTAATAATGGCGATTTCAAATATTTGGTTTTAAAAATATATGGCGAGGCCCGGCCCGGGTAGTCTCCGATATATATATAATTAGTGTTTCACTACGAGGGTTTCGAATCGTTAAGTTATAGCGGTATAGCGGTTCGGTTCGTTTCGGTTTTTAGTTTAAAATTTTATAAAGGTTTTGTTACATTTCGGTTTTTTAAAAATTTCATATCGGTTCGGTTAAAACCGTTTTGAGCCGGTTTAAACCGGTTCAAAATATTTATGTCAGTTTGGTTCGCTCTTTTTATATTTTCATATTAGGGGTTGGTTACGGTTCAGAAATTTATAACGGTTAATTCCGGTTTGGTGGTTCGGTTGATTAGAAACGCTGAACTGCTGTATTTTTTATTCCAAACCGTTTTCGATTGGTTTTCTAAAACATCCTATAATTTACAACTGTTTTCCTTAATATTTTTTTCAAATTAAAAAGTTTATAAAAAAAATTTAAAAAGAATAATTGATGTAATATAGTATTATTGAATATCATCCCTAACCTTAACCCTAACCCTAACTTAATAACATGACCTGGAACCAAAAAATGAAGATTACTAGTTATCAAACGGCTCTACCAATGTTATATTCTATTACGCTTATAAGGTTGTGAGCTTGAACCCAGCAAATTAATAAAAAAAACATCCTACCCGAGCTAAGCCTTAGCCCGTCATTTTGATCGATCTTTAAGCTCGATCCTAATTCCTACCCCCTGAATTTTTATTATGGAAGACCCCAGTCAGGCCCCAACCGCTTATTTTACGAGCCCGACTCAACCCGAGATATTTAATTTAGAAAATTATGAAAGTTAACTGATGTAAAAAAAAAAATCGCTAAATGCTTTTGTTCCCTCATCATAGAAAAATTACAAAAAGTGAAAACATCATTTGACCTTAACCCGACTAGGTCCGGTTTATAAAAAAAAATCGGGCCGGAAGCCCATTGTGACCGGAATTGTTTAAATTTTTATGCCTGGAACTGGCTTAGGAACCGACTTCGCAGTGTGTGCTTCTATTTTAGATAGGGTTTAACCTAAAAACGTATTTCATAGTACACCCTGTTTCAAAAATGTGTGGTGCGGTTGAGCTAACAATGCCATTCTTCCTTAGAATGAGAAACGTACTCTGCTTTTTAGTAAAAAAAATGAGCAAATGAGAGTGGAGGGGAAAAGGATTCTAATTCCAAAACCAGCACAAAAAATTGATCATATGAAACCTTTTGGAGACCCCGGCCAAAAATCAAAACGGAAGTAATTATTTATAGAATATCCCCGCCAAATTTATATTGGGATTTTTTTGTCATAAATTTTAAATTCGATTCGTTTTATTAATGATTAAAAAGGTCATATAATCGTAAAAATTATTTACGCTTTGAATGAAATTAAACAAGTTAAATTTAGCGAGTTACAATTTAAAAGGGGGTTATAACCGGAGTTATAAATAAAATGATTGATACCTATTTCCTTTGATTTGCTTTTCAGAACGGTGCAAAGATTTTTAAAGGGACCAGAAAACCCAGAATCATAGCTCAGAAAACCGAAATTTAGCGGTCCTTAAAATCACCTGATTTTTGAGACCGCTACCCGCTCTTCCGTTTGCGCGGACGCCTGGTTTTATTTTTTTTAATTCGAATAAAACATAAAGCCAACAAGGATGTCGATCACTTAAATTTTTTTCGGACATATTTAATTAATCCAAAATGGAAGGGGAAATTTTTTTTATTTTTTCCATTCTTTCATTCCATCCATCCATCCATTCAGAAGTGGTGAAGTGTTTGCACAAGGTTATTTTTTTTTTCTTCAAAAAATAACATTAACTTATATTTTATTATATTTAAATATATTTTATAAAAAAAAAGTAAACATAGCTTGTTTGTTGTTTTAATATTTTTCATAATTATTTTAAAATATTAAGGATCTTTAAAAAAGAGCAGGAAAAAAGACGGTGAACAAGAAAAGAAAAAAAATAAAATAAAAGGAAATGAAATGAAATGAATTTTAAAGAAAAGAAAAGAAAAGAAATAAAAAATAAATGAAAACAAAAATTAATAAATATTAAAAAAAATATTATTATTATTTATTTTTCATAGTGTAAAGGTAAACAGGTGCATCGTAATCATTTATTTTATTTACCTGTAAAATATATTTAAAAAAAAAAATTTTTTTTTTATTTCCACTAGTAAAAATAAAATATATTTATTTAAAAATTATATAAAAATTAAATAATTAAAAATTTATTTTTTAAAAAATAATATTTAAAAATAATTTTTTTGATGAATTATTATGTAAAATAGTTAATAAAATTTGAAGAACATGCTTTTTGTTTTGAGTAAAATCTTATATTATTATTAAAAATTCGTCATTTTTTGGATAAAAGTGGATTTTGATGTTCTTATTCTCTTCTATAACCCATTCATTAAATCCTACATTCCAAATGGCCGAAAAATGTGATAAAATTCCTAATTCCTGTTAAATCTTCCCCCCCCCCTCATCAAAATTATAGTTTTTTTTTAAAAACATAAAATTTTCTAAACGATTTCAAACATAAAAATTAGACATCTTGAATATGCTTCAAAAAAAAATTCCGATAATTTAGAGTATATTTTATTCTAATATATATATATATAAATTTGGGAAGAGAAACGACAAAGCATTTCAAAAACGTGATCTTCTAGATGAATCTTGCAGAAAGATAACTATATCCAATCCTTAAATTTTGGGGTAAAAAAAATGTAAATAAACATTTTGTATATAAATTATAAATATATCTTACGATCAATCCAAACCTTAAATTATGGGGTGCAGTATTGTTAAAAGTCTTTAAACTCCAGAGTTGTTAAAGGATCTAGATATAAAAATGTGGTATCTCTATCTAGATAGATTTTTTGACTAAAATATCTGTATCTAGATACTATTTTAGACAATGTATCTGTATCGTATCTAGATTCGTATAAAAAGTATCTATTAACAACTCTGCTAAACTCGATATTTCAGCTCGAATAATATCGCGTTAGAGATTTCGCTAACAGCTGTGTCCAAACCTTTGTGCCAGTGCCATCTATGAGAAAAATCCTCAGGACCTACGTAATATTTTTTTCTGGAATAATATATCGAGTCAGCTGTTATTAAAAAAAAAATGGCCTGAAAACGATCCCTTTTAGCAACACTAGGTAAAAATGCACAAACATTTGTAGGATTATATATTTGTCGTCAGGCCAAAATTTTGTCGCCAGCGTTATAAATTAATTTAATTATCTATGATTGTTACTATCATAGATATTTATAATTAATATATTACAGTGGAGTAACGTAGGCTGGAAAAGAGGGGGGGGGGGGGTTATGGGGAAAAAAATTTTATACTTTAATTTATGTTATAAAAAGGCTTTTAAAATTGCGTTTGATTATTTATATATAAATTTTTTTTTAAAAATTAATTTTAAATTTTAATTATATATATATATATATAAACTTTTGTCTAGTTTGTTCATATTCCATTTGGGAAAAAAAGGTTAAATTTCATTATTCCTATTTCAAACAAATGTTCAGCACAGATCTGCCCACAAGTCTATTAGAATTAGTAATCTGCATCGGGCCTAATTTTTTCAAACATGGCCAGACTCGGCCCGAATTTATTTGAATGTAGAAATTAATTTTTTTTTTATAATTACTCAAAATAAAAAGATGTATGTTATATTATGGCATCTAGTTTCTATATATATAAAATCAAAATATTTTTTAATTTTTACATTAAAAATTCGACATAAAATTGATAAATTTCGATATATTTAAAAAAAAAAAAATTCCAAAGTCCGACTCGACCCGTTTTTAAAAAAATATTAAGCTCGACCCGGCCCGAACCCGATTTTTTTTAAAACCCGGCCCGGCCTCCTTTTTATACCGCTATTTAAATATAAAAGTATGAAAGTTGTACAACCATATTTAAGTTCTTATATTTTAAAAGACGATAGATAGTATTTATCATAATCGTTTATTTTAATTTTATTTTATAAAAAAAAAATAGCTTTTGTGCTTCTAGAATCTTCGTTCTGGCTTGAATGAGAATTTAAAAAAACTTCTACGAAGATCCAAAATCTTGAATCTGGGCGGAGCAAAGAGAGAGAGAGACCTTAATCCTATTCAGCAGCTGGATCAATTTGATCTTCGATAATTTAGAATTCTATATTTAAGAATCAGCCTAAAGCCCTAATTTTTATTTTGCTTAATAAACTGGTTTTTATTTTATTGGCTGAAGAAGAAGAAAAAAAAGGTCATCTATGGACTTAGTAAGTAGTGTTGTTAAGAGGCTAATTCCTTATTTCATCCAGAAAAAAATATTACGCAGGCCTGAACACTTTGTTCAAAGATGGCACAAGGGTTTGGAACATCTGTTAGTGAAATCGACTAGGCTTGGGTAATATTCTTTTGGTTAAATACTGAGTTAACAAGACGGTAATAAGTACTAATCATGCATGTTTCTAGAATTTTCCTTCTTCTAGCATGATGAAGTAGTGAAGAAATATGAAATACGCACTGATACAAATTTCCCAAGATAATGCTTCCAGATGTTTGGCTAACTTTAGGATTTAAGACTTGAGATATCATAGATTTTTGGTTCATAATTCGCTTATTTTTTTTTAACGGTTTAAATTGATGAAAAGAATTAATCAAAGACAGTAAATATTAAACTCTCAAACCAGATTGTTAGAACTTTCTATATTCCCTGTTCTGGATGGTAATTACATAAACCAACTATCAAAGAGAACTTAAGCGATAAAATATATACTAATAAAGCCCTACTTAATGGTTTAGGGCTATGTTTTCAGAATTGGTGTTTCCAGCAGCTAGAGCGTGATGTTATAAGTATTACATTTTTTTTCATAACCCAGTTTCTTCTCCTGGTTTTCATAGGGCCGATTTTTAGTATTAAGTTAGTCTAAAATCTTGCCAATAATTATGTACTATACTGGTTAAAGTCAGAAAACATTAATAAATTCACAAAAAAATGCTATATTTCAGAGTTAAGGCTTTTTTTTTAGCCAACTTTAACGAGAATTATATAAAAATCTCCCGAAAGATCAACCCCCCCCCTTCCACATTGGAAAATCCTTGCTAATCCACTGAATATATATTGTAATATAATGCGGATATATTTAAACAAGGATTACATATTCAACGAATAATTAAATAAATATAACCTGCACATTAGTATTACTTTTAACATGGTATTACACGGAGAAAAAAAAAAATATTAACATCACCCATTTAAAAATCAATTAATATTATACCGTAAATCAATAATATCAGAAAATTGTAAAATGTCGCCATTCTTATTCACCGGGTACGGCTTATATTTTTGAGGTGAGAAGGCGCTAATCACACTTTCGCCAAATCCTCTTCCAGCTGGTAGCGTTGAATTCTTGGGGGGAGAGAAGGGGGTCATGACTTTAGCGGGAGATAAGATCGTGGAAGAATATCATATTCCACCAACCAATAGGAAAATTTGCCACCACTATCCAGATATTTGAATTATTCTCTCTTATTTTATATTTAATATAAATTATTTAAATGATATAAATGGATATCAAATTAATTGAGACGCATTTTTGTCACGTGATCATTCCCATTTTTTTTTTTATATTATATGAAAAAGAGTGAATTAGGTTAGAAGAGCTGAAGCTAATCCCTGTCGTGTCTGAAATTTTGAACTTGTTCTTACAAATTGAAGAAAGAAAAGGTAATAGTAATTATTAACTGAGGAATATTCCTAAATGTTTCTAGTATTCTTTAGGAATATTTGCAAGGAATATAATCCGTGAATCCAAAATGGATGCCAGCTAAAATATGGCGCCTAAGGGATGTGCCAATATTTTTGTATCGGATCGGGCCGATATTTCATCTTCCTTGAAATATCACAATCTATAAGAGGATCAGAATTAATTTGAATCTTTTATTTTCCTAGGTATAAAAAATGATTTTTTTTTTAAACAAAAATTAGCCAATCCGAGTATTTCGTCTGTTTCCATGCTCCATTTAAAAAAAAAAATTTGGCGCGATTATGTGAAAGGGCAACATAATTCACTGGTTGTAGACTAACGTATCTAAACAAATAACCAATCCTGGTCCAATAAAAAAAACAACCAATAGTTAAATTGCTATTTTATACACTAGAACAGTAAGCTAACTGGTTATAAATCTCTCTCTTTTTTTGGAAAGATGGATGCGCGATAGGCTAAAAAAATAAACCAATTTTTCTCGAGGGACCAACGTACCCCAAAATATATTAATGGACCAATCATAACCATTGACCAGCTAATGTTTTAATAAAATAATAAATGAAGCTATATAAAAGGGAGTATAAAAAGGCTATTAATTTCTAAGCCATAAATTTAAAATTTGGCATTTGTTTTAATGATATATATTATTGCATTATCAATTTTTTTTTAAAAAAGTAATTGTAATTGATAATTCATTTATTTTATGTAATTTTAAACCCGGACATTAATAATTTTTATCGATTATTTTAAAAATCTTTGTTGTTGCGCATGCGCTTACTAAAAGCTTTATTTTTTTGGGGGAGGGGGGAATGCAAGAAAATTTGAAGTTATCATAAAAACAAACCTCGTTATCGCAATACACTCCACACTTATCTGAAAATAAAAATTATTTTGAAAAAGATAAGAATAAGAGAAAAAAAATAAATAAGAAATGAAAAATAAAAAGAATAGAGAGAATAAAATAAAGAAAAAAATGGGTAATTCTGATGTAAAACAATATTAATGGGATTTTTATGAAAATTTTAATTGCCTCACGTCAAAAGAAACTATATCTTTTATTAAAATAAATTAAATTGATAAAATAAAGGTTAATAATCCACCACACTATCTACCATAATTATCTAATCATTAACGTAATTTATTTTTCTTCTTCCTTATGTCATCTTCGTTTTTTTCGTTTTTTTCGAGATGCGATACAATTGTTTTTTTATAAAAAAATGTAATAATACGAGGACTTAAGAGTTTCTTCATTTAGGGATTCGTTGATTATAAACATGACTCTTTATTTCCATTTCTTTCTTTTCTTTTCATTTCTTTTTTTCTTCTTTTTTTTTGTAGTTTTTTTGTTTTGAATCGCATAAGGTTCCAATTGCACGACCCGGTCGGACCCGGTTCGGCCCGACTCAAATATTTATTTTCGGACAGGCGGGTTTTTTAAAATTGTTTTTCGAAATGTTCAAGGGAATATGAGAAGGCGGAAGTGATATATTTATTCAATTAAAACAAACAATTTTTAAAAATATACATTTTTATTTCATTTTATTTAATCTATTTAATTATATATATATTTATATATACAAGAGTCGCGATCGGTCTGGGTCGGATTTATGGGCAAGAAATTTTTTGGCCGGTCTAGGGCCAGCCCGGGTTTATTTTTTTAAAAAAAAATTTTACGGTCCGAACCCGTGTGCCCAGGCTATTTATCCCAGTTCTGCAGGCAGGTCCCTGAAATAAATAAAGAAAAAATAGCTTATATCTCATGATAAATCATATAAATTAATTTTTGTGCCTTCGAACAATTCTATATATAAAAAAAAAATTTTTTTAAGGTTTCCTAACCCTAATCCTACTCTAACCCTAACAATCCTAACCCTAAGCTAACCCAACTCTAACCCTACTACTCTAACACTGACAAACTAACTCTAACAATCCTAACCCTACGCTAACCCTAACCCTACTCTAACCCTAATCCTACTCTAACACTGACAAACTAACCCTAACAATCCTAACCCTACGCTAACCCTAATCCTACTCTAACACTGACAAACTAACCCTAACAATCCTAACCCTAAGCTAACCCAACTCTAACCCTACTACTCTAACACTGACAAACTAACTCTAACAATCCTAACCCTACGCTAACCCTAACCCTACTCTAACCCTAATCCTACTCTAACACTGACAAACTAACCCTAACAATCCTAACCCTACGCTAACCCTAATCCTACTCTAACACTGACAAACTAACCCTAACAATTCTAACCCTAACTCTAAACCCCTAACCCTATTATTTAAAAAATAAGTTACAAAATGTGCTTGTAAAATTTCAAAATTTGAACATAAAATGGAGTATTACTCTTAAATAAAAATACAATAAAAAAGGATTCCTTACAAATTTCACCAGAAAATATGTTTTATATCCCAAAATAAAAAACAATTATACGTGTTTTTTTTAAAATAATTTGCATGTTTTTTTTATAGTTTTATATTATGTTACATTGTTTGTTTTTTTTTTCAACTTTAAATTCGTGCTTTTTTTTTAATTTAAAAATCAGATTTTTCCGGAAATGCATTTCATTCATGTATGGAATTACCTACCCTATGAATCTAGCATAATTTTGTCGCGAATTTTCGAACTTGATACAATTTATCGATAGTCTTTCTATCGATTTTTTATTCACAAATCGGTAAGATTATCTACAATTCATAAAGATGGGGATATGACTCTAACATATATATGTTATAATTTAATATATTTTTTAATTGAACCCCATGAACCTTAAATTTTAAAGGAGGGTTCGGTTTTTGGTTCTGATTCATCTCAGCGCTGAATTTATTTTAGTAGCATAAATAGTAGATGGTGGATTTAGAGGAGGGACGAGGATAGTGTAACGGCAACTCAATTAGAGCCAGGAATATTGCCTAAGCCTCTAAATTTCACGCTAATAGATGTCTAAACCTCTGTTCCTTCTGCAAACAAAATCTTCGGTTTTGCGTAATATTATTCTGGATGAAATGTTGAGTCACTAGGAAGAGGAGGTAAATAATTTTATGAGGGAACAACAGGAACAACAACATTTGGGAATTTTGAAATTTTTTTTTTTTATAATTAATAATTCCAAAATTTTTGATATCGAAAGAAAGAAGAAAAATTCATGAAATGTAAGGGAGAAAATTTAAAAAAAAAAAAATAAATAAGTAAATAGGACCAAAAAAAAATTTAAAAAAAATGAAAAGACATTTTTAAAAAAAAATGAAATAAGGGAGAAGTCAAAATAAAAATAAATAAATAACTTAAAAAAAAATAAAAAGAGAGAAAAGAGATTTTAAAAAAATGAAATAAGGGAGAAATCAAAAAAAAATAAATAAATAACTAAATAGAACTAAAAAAAATATAAAAAATAAATGGAAATGGAAATAAAAAATATTTAAAATGGGAGTGTCATTTTATTATTTCGACAAAATAAAATAATTATTTTTTTTTTAAAAATGATTTATTTATTAAAACAGGTAGGAAAAAGTAAAGAAATAATTAGGTTAAAATAAATAGCAAAAAAAAATAAAAATATTTATTTTAAAAAATAAAAATAAATATTTATTAAAAGTAAAAAAAAATAAGGGGGTCAGGGATGTGATTAGAATAAATAAAAATGATAGACAGTTTCGAGAACTCTCGAATGATTGGTCAATAAATTGGACTTTAAAAAAAATAATTAAATACAAACGAATTCAGGGTTCGAAATCTCCAACCTCCAATCCCGACTAGAATTTCTCTAAGCCAAATGGACACGGAGGATTCAATTTTTAAAATGGATTACTGACTTATGTACGTTGATTAAAAGACTATACCCCCCCCCTTCCACTCATTCTCCCGCCAATATTTTAATGATACGATGGATATTCGTCACTCCGTGTTAGATCTCTTACCTCCACCACCCATTTTTTTTTTGGTGAGATAGTGAAAAATTTATGAATTGTCATATATTTTTTCTTTCTTTCTTTCTTTCTTTCTTTCTTTCTTTCTTTCTTTCTTTCTTTCTTTCTTTCTTTCTTTCTTTCTTTCTTTCTTTCTTTCTTTCTTTCTTTATATCTTTACTTTCTTAAGAGAAGTGAAGAGAATAGATCATTTATGGAGGTCCCCCACTTGCACACTAGTAATGTATGTGTAATCAGAACAATATAAGCAGAATTGTTATTTTTTTTTCATCGGGAGAGGGGTATTAGACTTTATACGAACCCTGATTAAGAACCAGAAACCATTTTTTTTTTAAAAAAATTCTGGGAAACCTTGATAGAACAAACGGCTAAAATAGCAGATCTACGACTCCTTTTTTAGGTTAGGTTCTAAACTTTGATTATATCATGATCACCTGCCATTTTTATTCATCGCCAGAAACTTGCAGAATTTGCACGGGTCTAACCCGGATTATTTGTTCAAAAATATTTTTCGGCTCGACCCGGTCCGGGTGTATTATCGAGCTCGGCCCGGATATATTTTAAAAGACTTAAATTACAACCCGGCCCTTAGGTTTCTGATTTATTGGTCACAAAAAAAAACAAAGGGAGAATTTTTATGACTCGAAAATTGTATTTTATTATCATATTATGTCGCGATCGACAAATTGACTCGAAATAATTTAGATCCTATTAGGTGATCAGTGACGATACATTTATATATTTATTATTTTTAAATTACAGTTACAAAATGGCAATTCATGTTTTTGAAAGTAAATATTTCATTCCATTTTTTTAAAAAAAAAGCAAAAATAAAATTAAAATTTACTTTTATATATTTTTATAAAATCCTTGAGTAGGAGGGGGTGAGGGGACAAAGTTTAGCTTAGAAAACTCCAAAGCAGTGCTGTTAAATTGCTAGAATTTGAGCATTTTAATCCAGAAAATTCCTAAGCCTCGAGATTTCTTTGAAAGATGTTCCAAGCATTTAAGCAACCTATGAGCCGTCTTACGGCGGTCCAAGAATTTCACCTCTAGCGCCACGCCACAGTACGGATAACGCCGGTCCGTACCTCTTAATCATTAGCTCGGATTCCGAAAACCGAAAAAATAAAACCGACGTCCTATTCCATTATTCCGGCTCACCGATATTCAAGGCGTCGAGCACTGCTTCGAGCATTCTAATTGTTTCGAAGTAAAAGTTCTGTTCCACCTAAGACACTCGGGCGGAAGAGCATCTAAGACAGTACGAATTATGGGTCGGAAGAGGAAACGATCGCGGTGAAGCGGGCTTCCTCAATCTTGAGGCTTCGCAGCTGTTTAGTAACACTCCTCTAAAAAAGTAGGAACGACTTCCTGTAATTCAATATCAAAAAAATGCCTTCAATTTATGCTTAGCCAAAAAAAAATTTTTATTGTATTTTTTTTTGGTAAATAAACTCATAAAAATGTGAAATTATTTTTAACGCACAAAACGTATAGAAAGGAAAGGGGATAGGAAAAGTGTATGCCTTTCTAACGCATTGTTGGGAAAATAAAAAACAAACGAAAAAAACAATACAAATTTAATACACAAATAAGCATTTGTTTGTCTTTCTTTCCTTTCTTTCTACGACAAAAAAACACGCCATTGCTAAATTTGACACCAAATCATGTAATAAATAGAAAAATTAATTATTTTTTTTATTACACATAGACATTTTTACATTATATTATTATCCTTATTATATATTTTATAGAGATCATTTTAAAATTTTAAGAGTATATAAAATATGAACTGATCTGATTGATTTAAAAAAAAAAAAGCCGTAAATATTAAGCTAGTTTTCTTAAAATGAGAAATCTCCCGCGGAAAAAAAAAACGATTCGAAATAGAAAAGGGAGAAGGATTAGAAAATGGAATTGGAGGAAAGTGATCTGAGAGATCGAAGGAATGGAGGATTCAAAGCTTAAACAAATCTTCCTTTTCATAAACCTTTCTTTCCGGCTAATCATTATTTTTCTCCGGTATAAGTTTCGGGTTAGGGTTTTAGAGTAGCGTTAGGGTTAGCGTTTTAGAGTAGGGTTAGGGTTAGCGTTTTAGAGTAGGGTTAGGGTTAGCGTAGGGTTAGAGTAGGGTTAGGGTTAGCGTTTTAGAGTAGGGTTAGGGTTAGCGTAGGGGTAGGGTTAGCGTAGGGTTAGGGTTAGCGTAGGGTTAGGGTTAGCGTAGGGTTAGAGTAGGGTTAGGGCTAGGAAACTTTAAAAAATCTTTATAAAAAACAGGATTTTTCCCCGCGGGAATTATGACGTTAATTCTTGTTTTAGCGAGCGTAATTTCTAATTGAAAATAAAAAACTGTTTTTTTTAAAAAAATGTTTTTTATGTTGCATTAATCTTTGAATATTAATTATTTTATTTTTTTTTCTACAATAAAAAAAAAATTCATTTTTGGGATTATTTTTAGTAATTCTCACACCTTCCCGCAACTTTTCAAATCTCCTTAACTGGAATGATTTAAATTTTCCTCTTTTTTTTCGCGGGTTTATACTCTTCTAAGACGATAATGTTCCCTAATATTCTCCAGAGAACCGTAGATTCTTAAGTGATCACGTGATCAATTAAGAATCTCTTTATGAAAAAAAAAAATTTTTTATTTTCCCCGATAGGAAAGAAAGAAAGAAAGAAAGAAAAGCAGAACTGTAAGGAAAACGAGCGAAAATTATTATTAAATAAGAACTTTCCCGCCATATTGGCAACGAGTTAATATCAAAATTTATTGGGCAGTCATCAATATTACAAAAATTAAAAAATAAATATTTTATTTATTTATTATTTTTTAAAGGATAAAACTTCCTCGAATCATAATAAATCGCGTAAAATAAGTCCGCGATGGCGAACCACCAGGAATTGGTAGCGGAAATGCTCCTGCTTGAGCAACTTCCGGCCCAAGAAAGACTGAAGCTTGCTCACAAGCGCAGAATGCAACAAATTCAAAAATGGTTAGACTACGAAAACAATGTCGTTCACATTACCCCCGTCAATAAAAATTCTAAGAAGAAATCGCCCAAAAACTTACGAACTTGGCAGAGTTGCGGGAGCGATACGGAAAGCTGTTCCGGAGCAGAACCGCACGAGCTTAACGGATTTTTCCCGGAAAATCTTAAGAAGCTCACTATCGCAGATCTCAAAGCTATGGACTCTGACAGTAATCAAAAGCAGAATCTCGCGCCAAAATCCCACAAATCCGAAACAAATCCCCCCGATGCCAAACAAAATGGCAATTATTTTTACTATTACGAGGATGAGCAACACGATCCCCACTCCCCCGCTCCAAATAGAGAGGACGAATATTCCGATATGAGAGGATTGCACATGGAAGAAAGATACTATCCCGACATAATAACTTCGGCCAAATTATCCGATATTCCCGGAAACAACAATCATGAACCGAAACTGAGCAATGGTCAAATAGCGAGGGTCGAAGAAAATAATAACGGAAATTACGAACGTACAGCGGTCCAAGATTCGCGCGGTCATCTCGAAAGTTCTCGAAACGGGGGAAATTACGATTATTCTTTACCCCCCAACTTATTTAATTCCTTCGCCCAAGACGCTACCGACGACGCCTCTCCCAATTATTCGCTCTCCCTCGAAAACATCCTCAAAAGCCCGGTCAAGATTAAATCCTCTAGCCATCATAACGTTCTTCACAATTCTCAACGCACATCTGCCCCCTCTGCCGCCAAACCGATAACGCTTAGAGCCGCCGGCAGCAAATCTCCCTCACAAATTCTTGATTACGCGAACGCGGAGCCCGCTTCTCACGCGATAACAGACGCCTATAACAATCATAACACTACTGGCACGGGCGGAGATGAAGATTCCCAACACCATATCCCTTCCAACATGATTATCCATAATGGCCTCAACTATGACGATAACGAAAATAAATTAAATTACAATGACAACGGGGAGGCCAAAAATTTCGAATTCCACGATAAAAATAATATTAATGTAAAAGACGATAATGGGAGTAGCCATAAAGCCGATAAAAATATTATTGATAAAATAATCGGCAAAAGTAATGTTAAAAATAATAACAATAATAACGCAGCAAAAATTAATCGTTACAAATCGCACAAGGAAGAGAGGGATATGAAAGAAAGAATATCGGGGGAAAAATTTGCTAAGGGCGCCCATAGGAGAAGCAAGAATGTCAAATTCGTTCCAGGGATCATCTTATTAGAAGCGGCTTCTAGGAATGATTTGGATGAAGGTAAAAAAAAAAATAAAATATTGGTTATTTTTTTCTTCTTAGGAATATGCTAGAGTATTCTATGCAGTATAAAAAAAATTTTTAGATATTTTCTGAACGTTCTTTTTAAAAAATATTTATCGTTTGCCTATAATATACTTATTCGTTAATAAATTTCCAAACAATTTCCATGTTTTAAAAAAGATATTTTTTTTGTTTAAAAATGTTTAATTTTCTCGATTGTTAGAAATTCTCTGGTGCCTTCTTACACAAAAAATGATAAACTAAAATTATAATTAATTTGGTATTAAATGCGTATATCGCGTTAGAGGTCCTGCGTTGGTTGCGGTTTTCCGCCCGCCCGCCTATACTTTGAAGCGTGGTCGGTTTTTTTTAAATTTTTCCAACATTTTGGCGGATGAGTGGGCGGATGAATTTTCGGGTAGGCGGGCTTTTTGGTTAAAAACTGGCCAATCGCGGACCTCTAATATCCATTAATATAGGAAACGGTATACTTTTCATAACCCAGAACCATATGATTTGTTATGATTAAATTTTGGTTCAAAATGTAATGAACTTTTAAGCGATGCCCACTGTTTTTCGATTTTTTTGGGGATGATTTAAATCAGAAGAATATCTTTAAAAAAAAATCACCTGATTTATATTCTTGATAATCATGTTTTTTTTTTTAAATGTTTGGACATTTGTCAAATTTGGAACCAAAAAGAATTATGTTTGGGGAATCTAGAAATTTTTCGAATAATTTTCCATCTTATTCAAAATTTCTTTCTTCCTTTCTTTCTTTCTTTCTTTTCATATGTATATTTTTGAAAATATTTCATCATATCATGATATAAAATGAATTTGAAATTATAATTATTGTGCTTCGCGATTATAAATGAATTGTTGACCTTTCATTTTTTATTTTTATCTTCTTCAAAAAAAAAAAACATGAGATTGTATTAATAATATTTTTAAAAAAAAATTTGTTTAAATTCCAGATTTACTGATAAAAAATACGATTATTATTTGTGAGCATGAGGCATCACACTGAGGTCTGCATTGGGGGGGGGGGGGGTTTCGACCCACCCCCCCATACCCGCCCATTAAATTTGAGATTAAGACCTGCAGAGGCACCATGCACGGTCGGCCCAACTTAGCCTTTATTTTTTCAGACCCGGCCCGGTTTTTAAAAAAAAATGATATTCGATTTATTTTCGATTTTTAAAAGCTAGTAATGGCGATTTCAAATATTTGGCTTTAAAAACTACGGGCCGGATATTTTTTTTTAAAAAAAAGTTTTCGGGCCCGGCCCGGGTTTTTTCTTAAAAGAAAGTTTTCGGGCCCGGCCCGGGTTTTTTCTTAGAAAAAATTTCGGTCCCCACTCGGATTTTTTTAAAATATAGTTGATTATTTTTGATTTTTATGGCTAATAATGGCGATTTCAAATATTTGGTTTTTGAATGTACGGCCCGGATATTTTTTTAAAAAAATTTCAGGCCCGACCCGGCCCGGCCCGTGTATGCAGGCCTCTGGCCTATATATCTAAGTTTTAAAGACACAATTGAGATACTATATGGTTAGTAAATCACATCACTTTGGCTAACTCCTAATACGACTAAGCCAGCCTTTAGCCTTAAAATATAGGCTCATACAACTATAAATTGAGTCAATTATTTTGGGGGGTAAAAAATACTTGGCTAAGGGCCTTTTAGAGTTCGGTTAAAACAGCTGATTTAACAACTTAAGCGCGTTTTTTTTTTTTAAATTTAAAAATTATTATGATTTTAACCGGAAATATATTTCCATCATGTTTGGAATATACCTACTTCTATGAATTTCAGAAAATTTTTTTTAATATAAATTATAAAAGACTCCAAGGTTTAGTAGCAAAAAATTTGTCTTACACAATTTCATAAGATAGGTATTCCAAACATGATAAGAATATATTTTCTAGGTAGAAATCCGATTCAGAAAAAAAAAGATCTAACATGTATAAAATTTTCAGCTACTTATTCCGATGTACCTTTTGTTTAGGGGGGAGGGAAATGTTTTATATCAATGGGAGCCCAATTACTAATCTTTAATAGTATACGTGAGCTAGATGAGGTTATGTTACCGTTGTTTTTCTGGCTGGCCACTCAATACATGAAAAATTTAAAGGGTGGGTGGCCAGTCTTCACATGGTCATTTATGGCACATTTACCCCTATATATTTTCTCTTTTTTTAATAAACTTGTTTTTACCATTTTAATCGCAGTGTTATATGTTAGTTTACGAACGTCTTCACAAACTAGCGTTGTTAAAATACCTGACTTTGGACCATCTCGATTATGGAGTCAAGTTTTTTAGCCTAAAAAAATTGAATTTAGACTCTTGAGTCCCAACTTGAAGATTGATCGTAATATTTTTTGGTTTTAAAAACATGGCTGTTGACCAAAGTCAGGGTAATTTAGCAACAACAGTTATCACGAACACTAAAGTGTCCGCAAATTTTACGACAATTTCCCGTTCACAAAAATATTAAAACCATTTATAAAATATATTTAAAAAATCAAATATATATGTCTTTTTTTTAAAAAAGTCGAATTGAAGTAAGATTGGAGGAGATAAGGATAAAACGGAGGAATTGGAGCTTATTATTAAAGTTATAACCTAAAAATATAATTTTAAACCTAATTTGTATCATTCCAAATGCCTAGTAATTAAGGTCATTCTTTAAAACCAAATTAATCATTTTTTAATATTTACCAATAAATAATATCGATTTGTGAATTAGAATGATACAAAGGTTCGGCTAACTTAATAATAAAAAAAAGATAGCAAATTTATAATGTATTTTTTTTTAACATTATTAATTGGCTTTAAAACTTAAATTAAATTATTATCAAAATTATATGATTGGCTTTTGACGATATCGTTTCTTATTTATAACAAAAAAATTATTTATTCAGTAATAATTCATAATAAATTTTATATCAAAAAATTTAATAAAAATGTTAACATTTTTTCAAAGCGAAAAAATATATTTCCTCAAGTTTACCCTTACAGAAGTTCAAATGACCCGATGAAAGAAAGAAAGGAAAAGAAAGGAAAAGAAAGAAAGAAAGAAAGAAAGAAATAAATAAATAAATAAGAAAGAAAGAAAGAAAGAAAGAAAGAAAGAAAGAAAGAAAGAAAGAAAGAAAGAAAGAAAGAGAGAAGAGAGAAAGAGAGAGAAAGAAAGAAAGAAAAAGAATTGATTATCTCTATAGTCAAGAATAAATATTAATTTTGGCAAATCGCTATTAAAATGAAAATAAAATTTTTACATACCTTTTTAAGCGGTCTTTATAATTGCCGAAAGCTAACAACCTATATAACATCGTCTTCGACATGTAATGTAAATAAAATTTAATGTCAAATAGGAAAATTGGTTTTGGCGTATCTATCTTTATCTTAGGATAATACATAAATTAGTTAAATTAAACTTCAGGAAGATTATTCTAACAGGTGTCCAAGAAGAAATTCAAAATGCTTAGAATTTTTGAAAAATACAACTTAAAATGGTGCCCACAAATTGAACGTTTCAAACGCAGCGTTTGAAAACGCGAATAAGAAAAACGTAAACGCCGCTATGTTTAAATGAACGCATTTAAAATGTATTATTTGCGTTTTTTGAAAAACGCTAAATTTGTGCGCGACTATAAATTATGGCTTAATGAAATTTGGAATATGTGTTAGGGATTTGAATAGCGAATTTCAGAAGTATAAAAGTTGGCATAATTTTTCTGAAATTCCTGCTAGACCCCCTATACATGTGCTGGAGAATCAATTGAGAGATTCCAAATCTGAGTTTATTGATTCTATTCTAAAGTTCATTGAATTGATTCTGAATCACTAAGGGAAGATTCCAGATTAGTGCTGTAGCCCTAAAAACTTAGGGGTTGGGCAGACTATTACTCTAAAAAATATTAGTAAAGGCAAAAGATTCTAAATGAATTATTTGGCAATTAATGAAATTCAGCAATGGGAAATTTGGTAATAAATGAATTCAATTTAAATATGCTGTAATTTCATTTATCTTTACTATATATCGTTTGCACTCAATCAGTATAAAATTTATAGGATGATTAAACATCATAATAACTTAATTTTCTCATATTTACCTACAAATCTAAAATACTTAATACAAATTGTCATTAAATAAATAAAATTGCTTGCTTGATTTTACTTTTATATATTAAGTATAGTTGATCTAATATTTTTAAATTAATTTTATTAATGTTGACATATTTTATTACTCAATATATAATTATTTAATAAATATATGTATATATGTATAAATAACAATAATCTCTCCTTTACATTCAGATTATCAAGTATTTAATAAAAAAATATGTCATTTAAATTTTGGTTTGTAATCTCTCAATTGTCTGAGTGTATATTCTGACCTTATTATACAGAATTTTACCACATAATGATATATAATAAATATACATATTACATATAATGATTGTATAGAGTCTTGAACACATACTTAATTATTCATAAATGTATGCATATTCTCATGGTCAACTGATTCAAAACAATAACAATTCAGCTAACCCTATTAAATAGGATACTACCTCTCTATTAGGTTTTCTATTAAATAGATAACTCATCATCAAGTTATCTTTAAAGACTTTTATAGGTTTTTTGTTCCAAATTGCTTGAGATGAGATGAGGCTAGCTCAGAATTCAACTCTTATACTTATAATATTTTAAACAATCTGCAGCTATAAGGAGATAGAACTCTGTATGATACAGAGTTCTTTAAAAAAATAAATATGCTGAAATACAGATGCAACTTTGCTTAGCAAGCAATAATTGAATAGATTAGTCACACACAATTGATATCAGCATCATACGCGAGTTAGATGCATTTTTTATCAATATTCAATGCTCTGGCAATTTGAGCGCAGATTCATTTCCGCTCAATAAATGAAGTTATTCTAATGAAACATAAATTAGAAAAATTTATTCTACCAAGAGCCCTAAGAACAGGACAACATTTATTTTTAGAGGAAAAATATGTTATAACTACATGATGTATGCTTAGTTATAGATCAGAATTTCGAATAAGTTTTTTAATAGATGAAGAAACGGAAATGATAAAATGTCTTAGGCTATTTTAATTATTTACGAATCTACCTATTATTCATAGATTTAGTAATTTATTGAGACAAGACAAGCTCTTAAAATACAAAGTATATTCATCAGTACAAATGGTACCTCTACAGGTTTCTGATAATCATATATTTGGTTTTTCGAATAAATTTTAACTTTGAAATTCAAAATATATATACATATAAATTTAACTGCCCTGGCTGGCCTATTAGATGAATGTTGTTATAATAAAAAAAATTATTTATACAAATGGAAAAAATAAAGCATGTAACGTTAATATTTAATTTCTGGAAAATTCAGTTTACTTTACTTGACAATAATTGCTATTAACATATAAATTAAAAAATTTATATATATATATAAAAAAATGAATTAAATTGAAATAAAAGAACTTAAATGAGAAACTTAAAACTAAAGATTATTTTGGCAAAGATTTGCATTTTGCAATTTCCGGGAACAAGGGGGGGGGGGGGTAGAAAGAAGGGGTTGAGCAGGAAGATAAATGTGAGTATCCCTTTTTAGCGGACCAATTTATCCCTAGCCGATTAACCGTAGGGGACAATGTCAAATTATTAAATTTTTAAAAATATTTTTTTTTCTTTCTTTGTGGATCTATATGAACGTTTGATTAAAATATTTTTTTTTTTTGTTTTAAAAATAAGAAAAATTTCCATATAAATTTGAAAAACAAATTTTCAATTAACTTTGTACATTGTTTATAAAGTTAGTTAAAATATTATTATTTTACTAGTTTTGTTTTAATGTTAACGGAATTTCCCGGGAGATTAACGGGAAAAGGAGGAAACCGCGGGGAAAAACTGGAAGCTATTTTTTTTTAGTAATACTTTTACATGCTTCATTTAAAAATATATAGATTATGAACATCATATATTAAACAAATATGATTTGATTTTGAGTAATCTGTCAGTCATCTTCGTTCGAAGAAGAGAATGATTCCAGGTCCAGAGCCCGAAATTCTAGAATTTGCAGAAATTTCTTTTCCGCCATTAAAATGGAGATCGCCTCTCATGAAAAGCTAATTTTAGGAACCTTGTCATTTTTTTTAAAAAAAAATCCTATTTCTAGATTTCGAGTGAATATTTCCAAACGAGGACCATATTCTTCGGGAAGCTGCACTTGTCGGTGGCACCGATAAAAAAATCCGTATGGCTTAGGGGGTCGATATATATTGATTGCAACATATTGTCTCTTAAATTAAATCCGCAAAACCTTAGGGTCTATGAGCAGCATAATGTATATCCGGGTAATAAAAAAAATTTCTGCTTTAGATAAACTGCTCAATTTCTGCTATTTCGCACTAAGATATTGTTTTATAATGGCTAAATGTCTTCCCCTGATACGAATAAATGCTTGAAGGGACATTCAGATAAATTGGCCTTTATCCCCTTTCCACTATCCCTATTTGTTTAAATATGACATTTATTTAAACTTGCGTTAGATCATTTTAAAAACCCAAAGAGTAAGTCTCTTATCATCATTCAGTAAATATATCAAGAATTTTCCATTTCCCTGTAGAAGCAAGCTGTTTATCCTCTAAACTATACCTACCCAACAAGATGGTGCTAGAGATAACTTTAGGGAATTTCTTAGGAGTTGGTTTTTCTTTTAATAAGGTTGATAAAAGAATATTGTTAGATCTTTTTACATATTTGATGGATACCTTCAGGCTTTTGTGAGTGACTAAAATTTGAATCGATAATATCATATTCGCTATACTATCCTTATAGAAGAAGATTTAGTCCATGAGCACTTTGATAAATTCGTATGATATGCAATCCTCTGCATGCATGTTTGTTCCTGTGTTCAATCTATTTATAGAAAATGGGACAATGGGTTGCCAGAATAAAGTTGATAATGCAATTCCCCTCTTATATTTGCCCCCCCCTCCTCCCCAAACACTAATGAGAGTCTAATTTTTCATTTACTACATGTTCGATCCTTTTAAATTCACTTGTCTGATAAGTTTTTTGCTTTTAGTAAATGTCTGGTATGGCATTTACTAAAAGCAGGTCTCTAAGGATTGAAGTAGTTTTGTTCCAGTACAAACAATGGGTGATTTGAAAATGGACAATTTGACATAGTGATGTCGTGTGATATTCAATATCCGGTTTAACATTTCTTTCTTCAGCATTAAATTATTTTGCTTGAAAGGTATTGATTGAATTAATATTGGAAGATGTAAGTTGGGTCTGTCACTGAAATCAGCTGCATTATCATATGGTGGGGTTACGACTCTAGCTTCCTACCGGATCTACATTATTGTTAATTATATTACTATACTCATGGTTCTAAGATACCTTATTGCATTTAGAAATTAAGTATACGTCATCTTTGTCGAAGTTGGGTAAGCTGTATTCTTGATTGCAGTATTTGCACTTTCTTTCTTTCTTTCTTTCTTTCTGCAATCCCTTCTTATGCTAGAAGCTTTGCGTAACATCTGAATACTTTCTAGGCATCTATAAAATCAAGCATGAACGATAAAAACTTTAATTTAATAATGATTTGATGAAAACTAAAAACTGATCATATTTATTATAAAAAAATTATGAAAATTGATTACTATAAATTAGAGAGACCTGCAGAGGTACAATTTTCGACCCGGCCCGGTATTTTCCGACCCGGCCCGGTATTTTCAGGTCCGGACCGGATTTTTTCGAAATATATTTATTTTTCATTTTTATAGCCTATAAATGGTGATTTCAAATATTTGGTTTTAAAAATATACGGCCCAGGCCCAGATTTGTTTTTAGAAAATCTTCATAAATATTTTCTGCTTAAAATAACTCTTAAACTTGTATTAGAGTTAGCTATTAAATTTTAACGAGTATATCTTTCTAGGATTTAATGGAGATAAGGAAAATAAACATGTATATATTCAAAAACAAAACACAATTATAACTTATGACATTATGATCCACGAGGAAAAATAAAAATGTTTTTTTTATAAAATATAATTAAAAAACGTATTTTATTTTGTCATATAAGAACCATTATTTAAAATCGGGACAAATGGGGAAAAATTTCCCGGGAGATTCCCCTGATTCCCCCGGAAAATATTTGCCCTGTCTTACATTCCTAGTTACCACAAAGAGATGGGAGTTATCAGTTACATATTTCCAAAGTAACTAGTTACATTTACACATTTTTTTAAACATTACTCAAATTCTTGCGATTTACCAATTTTTAGTCAACGGAATTTAAATGAAATATTAAATAAAGATAATAAAGATATATCGCAAAATAAAATATTTTTTTTTGCAACCGAATAAAAAAAATATCAATATCGAATGAACTTTTCTTTGACTTTTTTATTTTAAAGAATAAACAATTTACTAAATTGGTTTAGTGTGTGGCCTCCAAGAATTAACTTCCTAGAATTCCTAGATTAAGTAAACCTTTTTTTAGAGTTCATAGACTAAGCAAACCTTTTTAGAGTTCATAGACTAAGCAAACCTTTTTAGGGTTCCTAGACTAATTAATAGAGTTCCTAGAATAAGCAAACCTTTTTAGAGTTCCTAGAATAAGCAAACCTTTTGCAGTAGCTCACGATGGAATTCAATAAATAATAATACTAAACATATATATTATGAATGAGATATATTTACATATATATATTTAAAATTTAACCTTTATTTTATAAAATAACTTGAAAAAAGTAATGAGTTATTTTTGTCTTTTTAATTTCCAAGAGGCAAGTGTTGTCAAGATTTTTTAAAACGGCTAACTCAATATTCCATCCAGAAAATACTAGACTAGTCTGAAGATTTTACTAAGAAGTAACAAAGATCTAGTAGAGATATATCATCCGAATCTCGAGAGTTTGAGCAATATTTTTCTAGCTAAAATATTGAGTCAGCCGTTTAATATAACGCTACAAAAAGGTGTTGATAGTTTTTAAAAAATTAACAGATATAATGACAACACTACATAAAAAAAAAATTATAGAATTTGCGATAATAAAATATGAAAATCTCTAAGTTTGTCTTAAAATACAACACATCTCTTGATTAAATTGCAATTCATCACACATGCAACGTAATTTGTGAATCTGTTCCCCAATTTATTAAATATTCGATATAGACTAGAAATCTGCAAAAGTAAACCCGGCCCGAACGGGTTACGGGTCGGACTCGGGTCTAATATTTTTTATAAAAATTCGGGCCGGGTCGGGACCGGTTTTGGAATTTTTTTTTTACAATATATCCGAATTTAACCAGTTTTATGTTGAATTTTTAATGTAAAAATAAAATAAAATTTTATTTTATTTATAGAAACATTAGACGTCATAAATAACGTATATATCATTTATTTTGAGTAATTATAAAAATTAATTTCTATATTTAGCCGGTTATAAAAAATAATAGTCAAATTTCTTTTTATAATTCGATATAAATTGAATTCCAAATGTGAGAAGAAGAAGAAAAGGAATCAAAAGAAAAAAAAAGAAGAAGAATAAATTAAAGATTAGAAAGAAAACATTTTTTTTTGTATCATTATTATTTTTATTATTTAATTATTATTTACAAATAGTTAGAGAATTACTGGAAAGCGGTATAGATCCTAACGTGTCAAACGCCGACGGCTTGACAGCTCTCCATCAAGTAATTATATAGAAAATATGTCTATTTATATATAATCAATTATTTTTTTTAAAAATATTTAATAAGTGGATGAATGATTTATTTTGTAAAAAGAGGTTTAACAGTCGCCCCACAGTTCTAACCATCTCTGACCCCACAAATGTAGCCTAAGTAGATGGCTTAAGACCTGATGGTATGACAACCATACCTTGGGTCCTCGGTAAATAACATATGGGACTACCTATACATGTGTCTCTCTTTATTCCCCCCAAACTAAGCCCAGACAATTTTTATATACGCTCCAAAAAATTCAAATCGAAAATTTTTGGACATAAATTATGTAGTGTCGCTAAACGACTCCTTTTTAAGCCTATTTTTTGAAAATGGCTAACTCAATATTTCATCCAGAATAATATCACGCAAGCCTAAAGATTTTGCTCATAGAAAGGAACAAAGGTTCCTAGAACTTATATTATGTCTCGAGGCTTAGGCTATATTTCTGGCTAAAATATTGAGTGCCGTTTAACAGCACTAGTGCCTAATCTTTAGAGCTAGCCAGGAATTTCTCTTCAAATCTAGCTGCTGATTTTTTTTTTAAAAAAGAATTTGAACCAATAACAGTCATTTTCACATATCTTTTCTAGGCTTTTTTATAAATACAAATTATTTCGAAAATTGCACAAAGAAGGCTAACGTAACTCATTTTTCATTTGTTTAATTTTAATTTCAAAAATAAAAAGGCAAAAATAAATTTCTTAATTGAAGAAAAAATAATGAAAATAAAAGAAATTTTTCAAAATATCGGTTACCAAACTTAAAACATATAAAAATTTTAATTTTCTTTGAAAAATAAATTTTTACATTTTAACAAATACAAAGAAATATTATATGTAAAATGGCATCTTTTAGGATAATTGGTGGAGCCTTGTAAAAAATAAAATAAATGATAACACACTTTTTAAAAATGAATACGAATAAGTATGTAAATATATAAATCAAAGACCTGCAGGCCCGACCCCAAGCCCAGACTGGCTCAGCCCGGATACACGGGTCGGGCCTGAAATTTTTTAAAAAAATTGCCGGGCCGGTTTGAGCCGATGTTTAAAAAAAATGGCTAACTCGCGATTTTAGTTTGAAAAATAATACTTGTCCTAAGCATCGAGATTTCGTTAAAGGGTGTCCAAAGTTTTGTGACTTCTATGAAGATATTCCTTCAGGTTTTCGCGCTACATTCATTCGAATAAAATATCGAGTTGGCATGGTTTACAACACTAGTTAGGAAATCGTTTTATTTACTTAGAGCAGAGCAGCGTTTCTAAGAGTACAGAAGAATTACCATGGATGTTAGAGACCCTGTTCTATTTGGTAAATCGATGATACGAACCTTCCTGTCCATCTATGAGCGTAAATCTTCAGTCACTTGTGTTAGATTTTTCTGTATAAAATACCGAGTTATGACCGTTTTTAAAAATCGAATCGAATCGAGCGGTTTAATGAGATTAAAAACAAGGGCAATATAATCCGGGGCGACTTCGGGTTGATTAAGTCAATCAATGTGGAACTACAACCTTAGAGTTAGCCAGGTAATATCAGTAAATTTAGGGTATTAGGGAGAAAGTTTGGTATTTTAGCCGTGTTTGTCTGTCCAATAACTTTTTATTCATTCTATCAATGCCGGAGAAATGACAACCAAAAATAATCGTAATAACTGGTGACAAATGGCTCGCTGAAACGCCTCAAAGAAAGGCTCTACTGCCACATTTTTGATATATAAAAGAAGAAGAAAATGTCATTAAGGCTGTCAAAATACGGACATGAACTTGTCGCGTTTCACTGTCTCTCATTAATTTATGAAGGAAATATTATCGTTTTCTGAATGTTTAAATGATATGGAATAGAAAGGCTCATTAGAATTAGAGATTTGTAAAAGATGATGGTCTTGGACATTTACAAATTGGATAAATTTTTTTATTTATTTTGAAGCTATTCATCATAGTATTTCGATTATTTTTAAGCACAAAGCATCGAATTTTTTTGATTGAAAGTTGGATCTTCAATTGACAAAATGTCAAAGTAGCTCATGACTCATATAGTATTCTTTTTAGAAAAGGAATGATTTTCTTTCCGGCTCAACTGATATCTACTAGCTAAAAAAAAATTTTAAAGCACATATCATCGAATTTTTGATTGAAAGTCGGATATTCATTTGACAAAATGTCAAATTGGCTCGTGACTTATCAATATATATTTTTTTCAATAATTTTCTGATCGGATTTATAGCCGATTTACGCCATATGAACTTATGCCAGTCTTCTTTAAACAGAATTATAAAGTTAAACTTCTAAATGACAGAATACGTCTACAGTAAAAATGTCCCTTTACTCTTAAAAGAGATTTTTAGGGGGTATCCTCGACCTCCACTTGATGTTGTATTCCTAAACGCCTCTGCTTAGACGTAATTATTAAAGTATTTATCGATACTTGCGTTGTATAGATATCCTTTTCCCAAACTATCCCAGAAATCTCCAGGAGCATCATTCTAATCTTCTTTTTTTTTTCAATTTATTCAAAGTTCTGTTCCCGAAATCACAAAATGGGTAAATACACTATTTAAAATATTGTATATAGGACTAACAATTATTTTAACAGTGTTGCATAGACGATTACTACCAGATGGTAGAGCTTTTGCTACTCCATGGAGCCGACATAAACGCTTGCGATACAGAATTGTGGACCCCGATACACGCTGCAGCTACCTGCGGACACGCCAATCTCATCAAATTATTCGCCGATAGGTTTTTATTGTTAAAAATAAGGCATATTACTAAGAACACGTTCGTAGAACCTAATCTGAGCTAAGGTAGGTTTATATGTAAATCGCTGGGGTCTGCTAGGGGGCTAGAATTGATCTAAAGAAATGATGATTCAGTCATTTTTACAAAGAAGGTTTAATGTTAGTGTAGAATTGTCAATGAATTTTTATTTTACTCATTTAATATTTATCATAGTTATTATTTGTATAACTTATTGTATTAAAAATAAATACTAGGGGTGCCAACTTGTTAGCACTAAATGCTGACGGAAACATGCCTTATGACATGTGCGAGGAAGAGCTTGCCTTAGATATACTTGAGACCGAAATGTCTAACAAAGGTTTATTCTTTAAAGCTCTATTATATTCTAGTTTATAAAAAAATTCTTTACGCTTAATTATTATATTATCATCCTTTTTTTTATATATAAAACGAATTAAAGGAGAGTAATTAACGATTTATTTTTTAAAAAAAAAGGTATAACTCAAGAAGATATAGACATAGCCAGAACATTTCCAGAAAAACTCATGCTAAACGATCTCATACAAACTAAAGAGTCAGGCCTATCCCTAGAAGTCAGGGACTCCAGGGGAATATCTCCGGTATATATATAAATCATTAAAAAAAATTATTTAGCCTTAGTGTTCTATTATATTCAGTGCCATCCTACATAAGAATTCTGGATTTTGGATTTAAAATCATTTGATCTTCTTAACTGCATTCTCCATTAGAATAGAAATTATTCTTGTTGTGAATTTGAATAATAATTTAGTCAATAAATTCATTTTTTATCTAATATTGTATACCTTATTCAAATGAAATAAAAAGAATTTTTCCTTTCTTTCTTTCTTTCTTTCTTTCTTTCTTTCTTTCTTTCTTTCTTTCTTTCTTTCTTTTATATTATAGTACTAGTATTGTTTAACCGGTTCGATTTGAACCGCATTTCTAAAAACGGCTAAACTCGATATTTTATTCGAAACAATATTGACTCGTGTCTCAAAGTTTTTCTGGACATCTCTTTAATCAAGATCTAGAGGTTCAGACAGTTAATATTTTCTGGATAAAATATTTAGTTCGACTTTTTTCGCAAATCGACCCAACTCGACCCGTTTTTAACCGCGCTATCTATTGTAATCAGAAGTATCGGTATCTTTAAAAAATATAATTCCAATCTGATTTTAAAAATAAATTGTCCTATCTCCAATATTAACCCAGCTCCATATAGCCAGCGCGAATGGTTACTTATCGGCGGTGGAATTTCTGCTGGAGAATGACGTTCACGTCAATTGTCAAGACAACGATTTGTGGACCCCCCTTCACGCCGCCTCTTTTTGGGGACAAGTTATAATCTTATTTTTTATTCCTTATTTTTTATTTCATTCTTTTTTAAGTTCTTCTTTTCTTTTTATTTATATTAATTTCTTCTTTTTTTTTAAATTTTTCTTCCCATTTCATTTGAATTAAATTTAAATTATTTATTTTTTTAGCCCTTAATCATAGAATGCCTTATCAACAAAGATGCAGATATAGAAGCAAAAAATAAAGATGGAGAGACTCCCATAGGTTTCATTTTTCCCCAATACAAAATTATACATAATAGAGGTGTTAAAAAAAAAGGTTCTGATTGCAGACATATTTCTAACTAAAATAAAAATTTTGGCCAGGTCTTTTTGTTAGGACCTATTTTTATATTTCGATCTAAAAAAAAGCATATTTTAAAAGTTTTCAGAAATATATGAATTAGGGTTAGTGCTAACCGTTACTCGTTACCTCTAGAAGAAGGTAACGAAGTTAGTAACGACGTTACTTTTTTAACGTTACGGCACTAATTAGGATATACATCATATTTGTAAAAAAATAAAGATATTTGCGAGGATCCGGAGATCAAAGAACGTTTGCTGGATATCAAAGCGGAAATGGAACAAAATAAAATCTTGAATAGCAAGAATTTCTGGCTCCATCCCAATAACAATAGGATCTCCAATAGAAGAAAGTAGCGTAGATAAAACACCTTTTTCATTTTTATATGATAATGTGTTTTTTTTTGTTGTTTATTATATAAATTTACAGCTCTTCTATTAGAAGATCCAGCATCCGAGATAAGAACGCTCTCTCCAGACGGGAAATAATAGAAGAAGCCAAGATTAGGCAATTTAATCATGTACGATTTTTTTTTATAAAGATTTAATCGCAATATCTAATCATTCACTTACGTCTCTAGTTCCAGTAGAAAGCATCATTTTCATTGGAGCCAGTATTGATATGTATGGCCATTTTAACTTGTATAATTAAGAAAAATACGATGATAAATATAAAACTATGTTCAAAATATATTTTAAATTTTTGGACAATCCAAGCATATTATAAGATTATAAAATCTTTATTCTATTAGTTTTAACCTAGTTATTAAATTTTTTTTAGACAGGTAGGTTATAAGAAATTTAAAAATACATAGATGATATCAATTTCGTAACTATAGATCGGTTTAGGCCTTGGGTTATGAATATAACCACTAGAATTTGAGTATTTTAAGGTCATGATAATCTTTTAAGTAATAGAATTTTAATTTTTCTTAAATTAATGCCAGATTATTGATATAATTATTTTCAAATGGAATTAGAGGGAAATGAAGTATAGTTAGCTTTCGTTATTGCTAGTCCTATCAAAGGCTTATATCTTACATTAATGTTCATTAAACTTAAATATCGTTAACTCATAGCTAAATCCTAGATTAATTAGCACTGCACTCCATGAAAATAGATACAATTTTTTATATCACCAACATATTTATTTTTATAAAGTTTTTTTTTAAAAAAATCTACAATAGTTTGGATCGGATTATGGTACCACTTAAGTTTCGCTAGAGTTAAATTTACTTTCTTACATTAATAATTTAATTAGGTGACAGTAACAGGTTATTTTTTTACTAGTAATAGAAGCTATATAACAATTATAAATAATTTTTTATATATATTTACTAAAATTGGCGAGTAAAGTCTTTAATGGACGAAAAAGAACAGCCTGTTAAACTGGAGAAGTTAACTCCCTTGAGAGATTCATCCACCGAAATTCCAGATTCTTCCATCGATAATCCTTATTTATCAAATCAAAATAACCACAAAAGTATACCTTTTTTTTAAATAAAAAAATCAATCATATTTATTAACCTTACATCGTTTATATATAAAAATTGGAAATGAGATTGACAGGAAGGCAGAATAAGCTGTTCCTTCAAGATCGAATTTTTGTCAGCATCTAAAATAACCCCCCCCCCTGGTTCCTAAAATATTTTTTATTCTGTACTTCCTTTTTTGCCAAAAAAACAAGAAGAGAAAAGTTTTGATCAGGAAGTGAAGGAATACTTAAATGAATCTATTTGTATTTCATGATTCAGTAGAGTTTTTTTTTGTTAAATATAGTGTTGATTTACGGCTCGATTTCGAGCCGGTTTTTTAAAAAACGGCTAATCGAACCCGGGCCGCCTGGGTGAAACCCGGGAATCCTATCCGCTAGACCCATATGTTATCCAAAATAGTATCGCGCGAGCCGAAGATTCTGCTCCTGGTTGACACAAAAGTCTAGACATCAATTTGCTAAATCTTGAGGGTTTATGGGCGACATTTTTTTTTTGGCTAAAATATTGAGTTAGCCGTTTTTGGGAAAAGACAGGTCGAAACGTGCCGTTTAGCAACACTAGGTAAATGTATCGATTTGATTCCTTACCGTATTGATTCTTTAATTAAATATTTTTTGCAATAAAAATTGTTTTAAAAAGAAACGTGATGACAAAAAAAATTTGATTTTAAAAAAAATATGACAATATAAATTCTTTAAAATTTCGTTCAGTTTATGGGCACCTTTTGGAAATAGTCTCTTTAATGTAGTTAAACCCGATCCGAGCCGGGTCTGATATCCGGCCCGGCCCGTATATTTTAAAACCAAGTATTTGAAATCGCCATTATTAGCTATCAAAATCCTAGCCGGGCCTTGCAAATGGTACCTCTGCAGGTCTCTGATATGTATTTATCATTTCAAAGTCAGTGAGAATAATATATTTACATCCGATAAATAAAAACTTGACAGGCATTTTGGTGCAACAATCGAAGGCAAATGATCCTGTGAACTCGAATGCAGAAGATCTAACCATGTCAATCAACAATAATAAAGAAGGGACCACAGTTGCTGATAATAATACGGCTGCGCAAAATAATAACCATGTGGAGGGCGATAGCGAAGGGGGAACTAAAACCGAGCCCTCGAAGGGGAAAATAATGTTTCAAGCTCTCCGGTTGGTATCCAAGATGAAACGTCACGGTGCCGCTTCGGGTTTAGTCTCTACCGAAACTAATAGTTTGTCGGAAGCCAAGGTCAGCGTTTACGATAATTACGAAGCGAGTTGCGGTAAAGAGGCCGCGATTAACGGGGAGATACTTAGAGCCGGTGATTGTACGGAAAAAAGGTTATTGCCTGATCTGAAAAGAGCTAGGCGCGCTATGAAGGAAGGAGATTCCAAGACCGAACGAGCCTCTTGGTCACTGCTTCAACTTTACGAAGACGGTATCGAAGAAGAGGGAGAAAAGAATGATAGTAATAATAGTAATAGCAATCCTGAAGCCGGAAAAGAAGGGAACTTCAAGGAATCGTCCAAGAAAGAAGAAGACGAAGATTCCAAGAGTCCATACGGTACCCTCAGCAAAAACGACCCCGCTTTGAGTGTGAGAACTGTTAAGCCTCCCAGAAGCCCTATCATAACAAATTCCACTGCTAATAACGTTACTGTAGATCACACCCAAACGGGCAAAAATTATGACAAATCCAATAATTTCGAATGCTGCATCATATTGTAAAAAAAAAAAAAATAACTGAGAAGATACGGTGTTATTTTTTGGGGTAGAATGATTGTAAATATAAAGGCTCAGTTTGTGCATCCTCTCTTCAATACAAGATGGATATTTTGTTTTTTTATTCCATACAATCCATACAACATGCTAAAAAAAAATAAAAAGAAAAATGAAAAACGGATCACCTTGATAATTTTTGGTCAATAAATTGTTATTGTTAGTGTTGTTAAACGGCTAGGTCAATATTTTAGCCAGAAAAATATTGCCTAATCCTGGAGATTTCGATAATATATGTCTAGATATTTGTTCCTTCTACAAAGCAAAATCTTCAGGCTTGAGTAATATTTTTCTGGACGAAGTATTGAGTTTTTAACATCACTAGTTATTATAAATAAATCATGAATCGAGAACATAATTATAATGTAAAATATTTATATAAAATTAAATAATCTTTTTTTTCCCTTTTTATATTAATTTATTTTTAATCTTTGTGTAGGTTTCATATTTTTTTTTTTAAATTTCAAAAACTAAAATTGATATCCCTATGCGAGTCAACATATGAATTATTCGATATCCGTGATTATTCGATATCCGTGATTATTCGATATCCGTGATTATTCGATATCCGTGATTATTCGATAGGGAATACGGATCAAATAATGCATTTTGTAATCGCCCTACTTTTATAAAGGAACAATAAAAAAAATGGCCCAATGTAGCAACTTAATTTTTGGTTTCATCATACGCTGTATAAAAATATGTATCTTTTTTTTAAAAAAAATTTGGTTATTTTACTTGTATATTTTTTTTAAATATATATATATTTATACACGACAAGATGATAAACAAATTTATAGTCAAAATAAATGATAAAACCTTCTAATGCGTAATAAATTTATTAATTATAAAGATTGAGATTAACTTATCTTTCCTTAAATTTTGGTATGCCTTCATTTGTATTGTGTAATAACCTTAAATGAGCTAAAAATAGCGGTGTGACCAACTAGCTCAAGCTCAATAACTTTATAAACATCATTTCAAAATTATTTTAACCCATGTTTCATAACTGAATCAGATTTTTTTTTAAAAAATAGGGTCTATACTTTCCTATAACTCTATTTATGAGATCTAAGCGATATAGTTTGCAATTATTAAGTGAATCGACAAAGAATTGACTGGCCATGAGTGCCCTTTCTTTCAAAAAAAGTTAAGAATTGAATTTAAGAATGTTACACCAACCAACCTTAATATTTATTTAATTCTAATCGAAGTTTAATTTCTAATAGTTTTTGAGCCTTGGGTGAGTTTGTATGCAATCTGGCCCTGTTGTTAATTGGATATATTGTATTTAGGAATTATTTTTATGATTTACCACAATATAGAATGTAAATGAGGGTTTTTCACTTATAGGTAAAAGTAAATAAAACTTATAAGGTCAAATTTTTTGGTGCGATTAATGTTAAAAGCATATAAATAGCAGTAATTTGAATGACAATTTATTCATCAAAATGTAATTTTTCTAGAAAAAGATACTGACAAATAATTTTTTAATTGAATATTTTTCGATTGGATTGCCAAACTGAATAAACGAGCTTATATAAAATATATGTCATGAGTATATGCCTTTTTTTACCATCATAACTCTTTAAAGTACTTTTCTCCTATAAATTTTTAGAAGGGAAAGCTAGTCGGCGAATCTTTGATCAAAATCATCAGATCCTAAGATATGTAAATCTGCCAATTAATATCTTACTTGATTTTTTTTTAAATAAATTTTTCTTCTTATAATTGCATTCAAATAGGAATAGTTTTAAATTTAAGAATAATTTCCAAATATAATAAAATAATTCTATACGCATAATTCTATCAAATAAATAATAGGTGTAAAAAATCATTCTTATTCAATTTGCATAATGTTATTCAAATTCTTCAACTCAAGTATATTTCTCGGTAATAAGAAAACAAAACCATGCCCAAGGTACAAATAATTAACTAACCCAAATTTCATTATAACTCTATCTAAAACTAGCAGTACGTGATGATTTCTTTTTGTTTCCGCACAATTATAAAATTAGCAATTTTTTCAAAGATGTTATATTACTTGTAGAAAAGTATGCTTTTAGACCCATATCCTAACATTTTGCCCATTTTTAAATTAATATGTGAAAAGATAAAACGTATATTATTTATATAAAGGTTTAATCAAAGACGGTTGATAAATAATAATGTTATATTTTAACTATGGGTTAGCCCTACATTCACAAGAAGTCATACCTATCAATCCTAAAATATGATCAATTCATCCGGTTTAATGTTAGATATTTACCTATTATTTTATGTATCATTTAAGACAAATAAGCAACGATAATAATTATAATATACTTGCAATTTAAACTTTGTAATCTTAATTATAATAGACACATGACCTCGACATTGTATAATTTATTATATATATATATTTCAATTTAAGAAAATATTATAAAATTTAAAATCAAATACCGATATTTAAAGATATGCAAGAAATAATATTTTAGTATCATTTCAAATAATATAAAATTAATGAATATAAATAATATAAAAACCAGTATAATATTTAGATGTATTTTACATGTTGTATTCTTCAAATGCTTGGAAGCGATGAATAAAATAGAGGACGTTAAATAATACAATTACTTTTTAAATACAAAATGATTTAGGTGGGAATATTACTCCGATCAAATATAAACAGTTTAAATTTAAAAAATATAGAAAACAACAGGTGTTTTATTAGGAAATATCGTTTTTTGAAGTAAAATAAAATTTAAAAAAAAATATATAATGCTAATATAATATTATATATAAATATTTAAACCATTTTTACATACTTTCATAGCTATTATCTAATTCGTCAATTAGAATCAAGTTTTCATATCATATGTGCAAAAATTTATTTTTTCCCTTTTATTCATCGTTCAAATAAACAAAACAAAGGTATCTATTTCTATATATTATATTACATCTGCTATTTATAAAAACCAATGAAGAAAATAAATGTGTTTCCCTAACTTCCATGTAACTTTTTCCATGTAAAGTACCTTAAACATATTTCGAAATATTGCAGTCAGTCTTGAGAAGAGTCAAAATAAAATTAATTTCGCAATTTTTATTGAAAAAAAAAATTTATTTTTTTTTTACATTTGTAATTTTAACAATCGGGACCAATAATTTATAAATAGCATTTCAAAGCTGATTAAAAATATTTTTAAGTTGGCATTACCTTTAATATAATATATAATATAAGCATGCTTGTTATCTAAACTATCCTCTAAAAAAATTCAATCATCTCGGAAAAAATCTCTGCCATAAAAACATATTTATTTTAAAGTCAGGAGATGATAGGACAAAATGGATTCATTCAAATTCTTCGAGGTTCTGGGTAAGCAAAAAATTGACCGCCAAGTTTTCGTCCTTGTCACAGGCAAAATAGGCTTGAATAACCATTCCCTCAGGGAAGCCCATGGCTTTCAGCTGTTTTTTTTTAAATTGAAAATGAGAAAAGATATATCAATAAAATGTAGCAAATAGGGAGCAATTTACCCAGGGATGTCGAAAGTGTTAGGTGTCTCTCCAAATTTTTACAGATACCATATTTATGTATCTTGATACTTTAACGGCTCTGATTTTTATTGTATATATCTTAATCTAATTTTAAAAGATGTGCATCAATTTAGCTTTGTCTATCAATTTCGGCTACGGTTCGGATCCATGGTTTTTGATAAACACAATTTCAATTTTCGTAAGTATAATAAATAGTGCTAAATTACCCTCTCAATTGCCTCCCGTTCCACGGGAGTCACGACAATCTGATTTTCCACTATAGGTGGATTGGCCCCTGTATTCCCGGCTTCGGAAGAAGGAATATTTGAATCCGCGTTAGTTGGTTCGTTGAGCATTTGAATGAAGCGTTCTTGGTTCTCTGTTATCCTCTTTAATAAATTTAATTTATGAAATAAGATAAATGTGAAAAATGAACCATTTTTTGAAAAAATTCAGTTTATCGAGATTGGCAAATTATATTTAAATTTTAACTATTAAAACTATATGAAATTTAGCGTAAGAAAAAGGCAATTCCTGAATTTTTAAACAATTTTAAAAGGAATCGGCCAAAAATATGGCTTTTTTAATCGATTTGACATGGAATGACCCTTTATTGCTAACTTATTATTTCTTTAGTGTAGGAAAACAGATAGTATTACATTAACAAATAATAAAAAAAATTAAGCATGTTATATATTATTTAGTTTTATACTATAAATTTAGAATTTTGATAATTTCTCAATAGATTGAGAGATTAGAATCATATAAATATTTCACAGATCATGTAAAAAATTGAGATAATTAAAAACTAAAATAAATCGCATCTAAAATAATGATTACTAATACAATTTAGTTAAGTTATTTAAATCAAATTGATTTTTTTTAAGCCAACTTTAATTTTTATATTGTAATTTAAGGTTTGGTCTTTGTCACGGTCGTTTTGTGACGTTTACTTCTCAGGCAACACGTTATGTTTTAACTAAATATTATACAATAAAAAATACTGATTAAGTCCTTAAAATTAAACGTGATGGAGGTTATGGTTAAGCTTATGTCTATATAGAAGTGCTGCTAAACATAAAACATTTTATATGAACATTCCTATCGAAATATTTAAAAGTGGGTATTTTTAGAGATTTCACTGTATAGTGGAAGCAAGATATTAATAAATTAATTCTGATAGACGGTGAAGTGTATTAGAAGTAAAGGGGAATCGAATCTTAACTCAAAGTGTCACTAAAATCGGGGTAAAGATGTAAAGTAACATTTTGAAATTAATCAGGCCACAATACATAATATAAATATTGGAAACTTGTAACAATTGAGGATTTTGTTGTCCTAGTTGTTGAACAAACAGTTGAAGCAAGTTGGGATTCTGTTGAACCAATTCTCTCATCTGCCGAAACTGGGGAAGATTTCTCAAGAAAGCTAAAGGATCTGAAGAGTCTTGGCCTATATATATATTATTTTATTTTTAAAAAATATAGAAAGAAAAAATCTTACAAAAGAAATGAAAGAATGGGAGATAGAATAAAAAAAATATGAATTATTAAAAAAAATTGTTTTCTCGAGGAAAGAAATATCAAGAATAAGCACTGGAAGGAACCAATATAAATTTCTTCTAAACCACAAAATGCAACAAAACCTCTTAACGGTTCCAAACCTGCTTGATTGTCTATTATTAAAATTTTATTTAAATAACTGTGACAAATAATATATATTAAGTAGTGTTTATTTTTTCCCATGAAAAAAAAACAAAATTTTTCATCTCTCGATAAAAATAAACAAAATTTGAAAAAATACCAGGTCCAAAGCAGATCATTAATATACATCGGGTTTTGCCCTAACCTTTAACCCTGTTTTAAGTCATGGGTGGTTTAATTGTTTATATTATAGTGATTCATTAATAAATCGTGCTCAATGTATATTTCCAAGTTTAAAAGATAAAATGTGTCCTTTGTCTGCGATAGGTGGGTAAAACTATTTTTAGCGAAAAACAAGCAAACCCAAGGACTTCTATGCCACCCTAAGCTAATGACGATTTTACATTTCACAAAAATTTTACCCCTCGTAGCTCCTATTAAATTTTAAAAAATACCTCCATACCCAACTCCAATCTTTACCAATGACGATAGTGTTGTCATAACTACCTACCCCCCGTTAAATTCTTATAACGATCTTGTCATACTCCCATTCAGGATTAGTAGCCGCTGGCAGGCCCAGACAGGTTTTTTCTTATAAAAATGGATGGTAGGAGAGTTATTTAGGTTGAAAGTCCGCCTATTACTGATTTCTATCATTCTAAAATGTTTGTGTGAAAACTGTTCAAACCGATTTTTAGATGCTCAAGCCAAACTGCTATTATTATTTTTTACAAACACCTGAACCGTTGTTTTAATAACCTAAACCAAACCAATATTTGTTAGAGTTCAGATCCCTACTAGAAACATTCATTAAAAGTATGTAGAAAATAAAAACGATTTAATGAAATAAAATTTATGTAATTCAAAAGGAAAGTATACAAGACAAACTTTAATAAACAAATTACCTCTAGGTGGCAATATGTTTTGTTGTAATTGTGAATCAGCTGGATGAGCATCTGTTTCGGTAGATGGTAGGATGGATGGATCACTAACAATTGACTCTGGATCATCTGAGTGTTCGGCAGTAGCTTCAGCTCCGCTAGCAACTATTTCAGATGTAGCTGGGATTCCCTTGATTGTAATTTAGATATTATTATATAAATATGCTGTATTTTTTAAATTATTCAAATCGTTAATAAGCAACTCAATAACACATAAAAATGTGTCCACAAGATTTCCATTATATGCCATTTTGTACTAATTCATTCCTATATTATTTCAACAAAATTATTGGATTCGTGTAGTATGACATGTGGAGATATCAGGTTCAAAATTTATCATGTAAATAAAAATTGCTAATTATTATTTTAAAAAAAATCTATAAATCTTATCTTATCTAACACGTGATCACCTTCCTGACAAAGATGAGCTAAAGAAAGTCATATGGAGGTCCATCTTCCATATTATTATACCTATTTTTTTGCTCAAGGATACCATCAAACCTTGTAACACGGATGCATAGTTTAAATATATAAGGGTTGAATTACACCTTACCAAATTGAAATATTAGAGTGAGTATAGTTGTGAAGGAGAAAACAAGAAGCAAGAAGCATTCCTCCCAAATAAACTTATAGTAATTAAATTTATAATTAAACCCATTAAATTATTATTACATTATTGTATTGTTATTAGTGTAATCAGGGAACATGTGTACATTAATTTCCCTTAATCTACTTAACTCAGCGGCTAAAAAAACTGGTTTTAAAGACCAATAACCCTTACATGATGAATAGTAATATGTTTAATTTTAATTTAAAATTACATTAACTAAGAATTAGAGGCCAATTGTATTTGAGATCTCACTATAAAAACAAACATTTACCTTCCTCCTCAGCAGAAGTCCTTTAAATGTACATCTATCTGCAGCAGTCCGTTTGACGAATTCCAAGAAAGACCTATCACAGCTATTAATTTAGATATTCTGACAAACCAACTATTTTTATATGCTAAGAAAAGTTTGAGGGATGTGATCTTCGGGTATACTTTTAAGAGTGATTGATAGATTAGATTATTAGGGACTTGCCTAAGGATATGACCTGCAAACACTATCTTTCAATATTCTATCAACCTATATAATGGAAGAGTGTTACATCTAGACCATATGATACTTTGGATATATTGAAAGGAAAGAAATTTGTTAATAAATGATGTGTTTTCTTGTCATTCCACATCTCAATGCTATATTAAGAGGCAAGGAGAGTACTAAAATAAATAGTCGAGTCTTAGTGTAGATAATTGATTTGAAGCCCATATCTTAATAAATGATCGATATTTAACACAGGCCTTGCTTAGTTTTACAACCAAGTCCTGTTTAGTTCTTCCTTTCCTGTCAAAAATAACTCTCATATATTTTAAGTATTCGACTTACACAATATTCTCCTCATTATGGGGTAAGTGGAAGTTGAGATCATCACCTTCATCCTTTCAGCATTTATTTTCAATCCAAAAATCCTAACTTCCACAATTATACTATTCACTAAGTATTGAAGATAGGGCATTGATGTCCCCATTAGACAAAGGTCATCTGCGAACACTAGTATATTTATACCGTACCAACTGTTTAGATAGAGCACAAGGTTTTTATATGGTTTGTAATGAAATTATATAGAAGCAGGGATAAAACATCCCTGTTTCAGCCCAATTTAACAGGGATTTTGGATTTCTGACTGGCATGTATACTCAGTATCGAGTAGTTATTGTATATACTAGGCGTCCAACCCTACTACAGTGCCTTCCTCAAACTTGAATGAATATTGGAATCAACGGTCTAAAATCTAATGTTAAAATAAATAATTGGCTTTTCTGTATTGCTGCTCTCTCAATTTAAATTTTTAAGGGCTTCGAGTGTATTATGACCCTTCCTGAATGACACAAGTGATCCCACATAGTCTGGTACAACTATTAGCTCTAATCTGTTCAAAATATGTATAATATCTTATACACTGGATTCAATGAAATATCCCTCCAGTCTTTAAAATATTTGGAATCATTAGTTTTTGGAAAGTTAAAATTAGGATGATCGTAAGCCAATTTATAGGGTATGTCCTTTCATGCCATGTCATAATAAGGAAAGGAATCTCCACACACAATGATAGGTGAGTATTTAGAAATCCACAAGCCTTATGGTTTTTCAATTTTTTTATTACACTTATCTGACTTTTAATAGGGGCAGTTATCTATCAGTGTTCACGCTAAGTGCGATGGGTGGTAAATGAATGTATGACACAATTAACAATATGTAATAATAATTTACTAGGTTTAAATATAAATTTAATTGCTATAAGTATATTTGGTAGGTCTTTCTTATTCACAACTATACACATTTCAATACTTCAATTTGGTAGAATGTAGTTCCACTCTTATATAATTAAACTATGCATCTGTGTTACAAGGTTTGTTAGTATCCTTGAGCAAATAAATCAGTATTCACATTTGCTCAACTTAGGCAGGTATGTGACCAAGTTTTAGATTAGATCACATAAAAGGATTAAAGAAACTTAAATAAAAATAGATGTATTAAAAACTATAAAATTTATTAATAGAGAAAATAAATATTTAATGATTATTAGTGCCAAAAAAGATATATTAAATGTTTAAAGATAGAAGGAAAACCTTGGAGCAAATTTTGTATCCTTTCAATTTTTTTAAAAATATATTATAAATATAGTTAGTTTATACTTACATTGATTAGATATTCTACAGCCCTGGTAGGATTATTAAAAGAAGCTTTAAGGGCTTTAATACACGAGTCTTTATCAAAACCCATGTTCATTAAATTGTCAATTACAGCTTGCATTTGAGAATTACCAGTGATAAATGTTGATTCAATAGCTGAAGGAGGATCTGATGTAGAAGTTGATTCTGTAATATTTGGTGTTTTTTGAGTTTCTTCGGATATATTGCCCCTAGGATGTGAAAAAAAATATATAAATCTAAGAATTGTATAATTTAAATTTTTTATTAAAATGTCACAATATTCAATAAGGATCATATAGCATACTTATATATAAAATAGAATTTAAAATTATTATGACAACTTAGAGGATGCTGATGATAGACTGGATGGATTATTACTGCTATTGCTATCTGATGAAGAAGTTTTAACTTCTGGTTGTGTTATAGTTTTTGGTTGATTAGATGTTTTGGGTTTTGAAACAATGATAACTAAAAACCCATTTTCGTCAATTTTGTATTCTCCAATTGTTATTTCATCTTTTAAGATTTTACCTATTAAAGTAGAAGTTTTATAAATAGATCTATATAAAGTACCAGAATATATAAGTTTTTGCTCAGCTGCAGGGTAGTCATCACCTTGTTGTGACTCTATCTTTAATTTTAATTCACCAACCTTTTTTAAAATTAATTAAAAAATATTAAAATATCTTACCGTATCATCGGAATTCGCATCTACATGAAATACTTTATTAGTTACTGTCTTTACAGTTAATTTCATGAATATTATTTTTGAAATTGTATTAAAATTTTGCAAAAATTTTGGGAAATGTTAGATTAGACGTCTGATTTGAAATTTCTTAAAAAATATTTAATTGATATAATCTATGAATATAATATTATATATAGTAATTACAAATTTTTTTCATGAATTTATAATATTAAAATAATTTTTAATATATTATATTATCTTATTTTTGTTCACTAAGTGAAGAAAAATATTAATTAAATACTCTACACCTTACTATTCACGTACATAAATTTTATATATAAAAATATAGAAACTAAGAGCAAGTATTTCTAGATCAGATTCTGGAATAATATCGAGATGTTGGAGCAGATTATTATCATTGAAATTTAAAATATTGCATATCTTTAAGCTGTATTTTTTTTTCAGTTAGAGAATTTCGTACCTAATACTGGATAAAACAAACGGAATAAACTTAACATACATCTTAGAGAATAACCATGCAACTAGTATAAAAAGTAAACGAGTATGAAACGTATTTTACATACATTTCTGTTCACTACGATATATTATATTGATTATTGGAACAGCTTTTTGACAATTAAAAAATAAAAGTAAAGAAGAATCGAATCAGCTGTCATTTAAGACAGTAAATGTAACTCACTATCTATATTAATATTAGTCTTTCACATTATGGAGGGTGATCTTAAAGTTGAAAATTCATCTTGTTTAGAAAATGGTATAGAATCTAATGATAAAATTGAAACTGCTCAAGACCTTACTAATTATGTTTGAATCTTAAGAATATATATGGTAGCATGCTTTATATAATATTTGTAGGTTCAAAATTTGTTGAAACAAATGCAAGATAAATTTGAAAGTATGTCAGATCAGATTATACAAAGAATTGATCAGATGGGAACCAAAATTGATGAACTTGAAGGGAATATAACTCAGTTGATGGAAATTACGGGGGCTCAACCCTCGGCAGAAGAAAACTAGTTAAAATATTTTATAGAAAAAGATGAATAAACTTATACAAACAAACTCTTAATAATTAATTTTATATCCATATATATATATATATGCAATTAAACTAATAAAATGCTGATTTGATTTAATATGTACCAAGATATTTTATAGCATATTTTTAAAAAAATTACATAATTTATATTGTAATTAGCAATAAAAGCATTTTAAAATATGAATCATTATTTTAGAGAATCAGTTATAATTTACTCTTGAAATTAGTTAAGATGAAAATAGCATATATGAGAGCAAGTTGTTTTCTTTTATTTCACCAATCAATATAAATTTAATATACAAATCGCAAAATTCTAAGGAATTATTATTCTTTTTTATAGTATAAATAGTGACAATAAGAAATAATATGGATGAGCATGATACATTTAACATATTGGCCAATTTAATTGTATAGGTGAATTAAAATTTTTTAATAAAATTATTTAAAAATGAAGAAATGATGTACCTAGCACATGTATCTGGAGTGAACCATTATGATCTGCTAAACCTTTATAAATATCTAAACCGTAACCAAACCGATATAATTATTTTTTGAAGGAATAAAAAGAACCTTTATAAAAAGTTTGAATTAGTTTTGACAAAAATAAATTTACATTTTTATCCTTGTGGTGGATTACATATTTTACCATATCTGCATTATTATTTATAATTGTTAAATGATCAAAATATTTGTTTAATATCTATAAGATGTATGTATTAATTTTTTTAACCATAACTTAAAATCCCCAAAAACCCCTTTCAACAGAAACTTAGCAAATAAATATTATATGAGTAGGTTTACACAATTCTGGATATTCAATTTTCTTTGATTCCCAATATATAAAAACTTATCACATTTGCAACTAAATCAGCAATTAATATACTCAAATGCTAAAATTCTATAAATAATATAGAATCTAAAACCTTATAAATAATGTCCCTTTTATCATACTACTTATGGATAGGTGGTGATATATCAAAAATCTACAAATTGCTTATTTAGTTATTTTGCATACTAAAATAAAGAAATGAGGAATGCTCTAATACCATATGAAACCGTAAAAAGATTTTGGATCAATATCCCCAAAATAAAAGTTTCAGTTCAGCTAATATTTTTATTATAAGTATCTATTTATAACATATAAAAAAAATATATAATCAATCATAACTCATTTGTAAATATATTTGAACATATAAGAGAATTCATATTTGTTCATTGTGACAATAACACAACTTATTTATAATATAAAACAAAAATTGACATTTTTCAATATATATTATTAGTAAATTTGGTGAATTGAATATTTAGTGAGTGGTCGGTTTTGAGCTATAGTCAAATCATATTATTTTCAAAATATTTTTTTAGAATAATGCTTATTATTGTATCGATTATGTTTAAAAACAATGAATTTTATTTGTAATTCTTTTGTATATAATATACTTTTATATAATTATCAACTTCTAATAATATGCAATTTGATAAACCTCAATAATAATATTAAATGTATGAAAGTTATAATATTCTATTACAAATATAATATTCAAATTATAACCTTTTAAAAAATATATAACACTTAACACATAAATGTATACTTATAAACCAAAAATAAAGAATTTTGCATGGATAATGCCGGCAATTGTACACAAGTTTTCTATTATTTTACGATTCTAAACCTACTCATGAATTAAATATCAAAGAAACCCTATCATTTTTTTTTTAACTTTTAGGTTTTCCACTTGTATTTACACACAAATATAAAAAAAAACACTAACCAATAATCATTCTGGTTTCCTAAGATGATATTTTCATATTTATGCATTTAACACCTTTTATGGATATTATAATTTTTCCATTATTAATATATATATATTTGTTAAATTTTAAAATCTAAAAAATAAAATTTGAAATGTAATAAGTATTGAATTTAACAAAAAGGGGAATCAGTGGTTTTATTTTAGTTTTGGTGGTATTTTCGTTGACAATATTTTTATATTTTACCTTTATTTTAATTTTCCTTTAACTTTTTTTCTTTATTGGCCTAAAAACAAAATTAATTTTTCGACGAAACAGTTAGATAATTTTTATTTTCAATATTCACTCTATTTATATACATCTATTATCTCCAGTAATTGGGAGAAAGAAAAATAATTTAAAAAAACATGTCAATTATTAGAAAATAATGATAATGCTATTACTGCAATAATATATTTACATTAAAAACTAATAAATAAACTTTATTTTTATAGATAATACTTTATTTTAAAAGAGGATATAAACACAATTGAATTAAAAATATATATTAAAAAAGAAATGAAGATATATTAAAATTTTAATTATATGTATAAATCTATGAAGAAAAGCGTAAAAAGGAATTAAGAGAAACAAAAATATTTAAAAAAGGGTACATATCACCCTAGAGGAGAGTGAATACTTAAAAAATTGGACTAGCAGATTTCCACGGAGTCTGCTGACTAAGGTAAAATCCTTCATTGGGGTCCCCTGTAATCTGTCTCTTTTTTTCCCTGTGATTTTAATGAAATTGAGGGCCTCGCTTCCTAACATACCTAGGGTAATGGGAACGATTAGTATGAACACTGAGTTGGTGAGGCCTGTTTATTTGTTTTTTTAGGATTTCTGCCTTTTCGATGGCAGAAAATGAGAAATTAGACTTTGCTGCAAAATCGACACAGGTAAAGTCCCACGCGAGCGAGAGACCATTAGTCCAGGGAATGAGGGATAAACCATCGGAGCTATTTTCGTTTGACAGACCCACTGGTTCGAGAGTGGGTGGAATATTAACTTTTTTAAGGGCAGCTAGGAGAATGTTGATTGATTTATGACGAGGTTGTCATCCATGGGAGATCTTGCAGTGCAGGGGATAATAAGATTTCGATTCAATGGGCTGACCACAGTCGAGACAAATGGAGGGACATTACAGCCAAGGCGGAGGGAAAATGCATAGCTGTTCGCCAGTCATAAAGTGGCCAAGATTGTGGGAATGGCTTCCAACTATTCGTTACCTGAGTTTGCATATAAAACTATGTTATTGGTATTGTCCTAAAAAAGCCTGTTTTAAATTAGGAATCCAATGGAACGGGAGAGCAGAGGAGCATCCCAGTCTTTTTGATTGCTGAAAAGTTGTATCGGATACCAATACCACATAACTTGCTGGGGAGGGTGACCTGAAGCCAGAGTGAATTGGAAAATTTTAAGTTTAATATCTTTTCAAGAAGGCCCTTGATTAGTCGCTGCATTTGAAGATCGGTGAGGATTTCAGGACGTAGAGGATTATAGGTTTTTTGAAATAGTTTTTTTATATAAAAAAAATAATTGATGGGCAGGGAGGTTATAATTAAATAATGTGTTTAATTTAGATAAATTGTTAAAGGATTTGTTTAAAAAGGTTTTCATGGACTTTTCACTCCCTATCGGTGACCCCAGAATCCGGAATGGATGTAGGAAATAGGAAGCAAATCATTTGGGGAGATTGAGTGATAGTCCTGTATTATGTGTGAGATTCTCGATAATGGGTGGAAAGATTGCCCGAGACAATGCCATCATCTAGATACCAGGAATTTAAGGTAAGGATAGATTAAGATTGAATTTAATGGATTATTTTGTCGATCCCAATGCAAAAAAAGGTTGGGCCTAAGGGGTCTCCTTGTTGAATTCCCTCCTGATTGTTATGTTGTTATTATATTTTAGAATAGTATGGCTTGAATAACTATGTGGAATGTAAAAGAGTATACTGGATATTTTTTGGTTACGTGATACGTGATAAAAGCGTTTTCGCCCTCTGGATTTTTTGGTTAATGATGCTTACTACCAAGTGAATGTATGGAAATATTTTAAATATCAAACTAATTTGCTAAATACCGACCAAAATTTATTAAAATGTAATAAGACCCTTATTATTTAATATATTAATACGGAATCACGTGGTCGAGTCCGGCCTTCTATATATCATCCCCCCAAGGATGGAACCACCAAGTTAGAATAAGAAGAAAAAATCCTGGGATTCGAACCCAGGAGCATAGGATAAGTAAGCCAAGCTCTTGTCTACTAGGCCATAGAGGCTTTCCAA